AGAAATTGTCACATTCCTGTGCTGACGAAACGTAGCGCACCGTGAATTGGATTCGCCTCTTACTCGCTTCCTTCGTGAAAGAGTGAAAAAAGTATGATATGCGTGGAAGAGTGAATTTTTAACTCAAAATATACGGAGCGCTGTCCGGATCTAAGCAATGAAAGTTGAATTTCCTAATACAAAAGGTAAGCGATTTATTTCTAGCTTCATATTTACCTATTGTTTGACGTTTTCTCAGAAATTTGCGAATATTTTTGTTACCAAATCGAACTTTTTTTTTTTTGCTTTTCCACGATTTCCTTTTTGTGCATTCTCTCTCATTCTACCATCCACGGAGAGCAGCAAGCAGTAGTTCTTTCTGTTTTTTACGTTCACTTTGTAGCCGCCGCACAGTGTGTGAATCGACTTAAATTGGAACAATCGGCTTTGGGCGGCTTTCTACCAACGTTGTTTTTTTTTTTAGAATATTCTGTGAATTAAAAATGCATTTTTTTTTTCCTTTCAATGACTCAATGAATGTCAAAAGTTCCAATTGAATAATGACTGGAAGCTCGACTGGAAGATATTATTAAGTCAGTTCCAAACTAGATATTTTATTCCACTCGAATATTGAACTCATTCAATATTTCAATAAGCAGTGAATTTACCCTGCTGTCTTTTTATACAAATTTCGTGCAAAACTAGGTTTACGCTTAATTTTTGAATTTATGCGAATTTTCAAATTTACGTGTATTTTAAGCGACAAACTTGTTCATAAGTTGCCGCTTGCAATTTAATTTTGTAACTTTAGGCGTTAGTTCGTCAATTAAATATCGAAGTGTTTAGATGCTGCAATAAATGACACTAGTATTTTTTTATAAAATTGTGGACACGGTTTATTAACACGTTTTTAAACGCGGTTTGCGTCACTTAGTTGCAATTTACACAGTACGTTTTCAACGATTTATCGAAAATAACGCAACTTATCAAAATAAATCCAATCACGTTATTTGTTTTGAGTCATAGGTAATATAATGTCATACTTAAACTTATCACAATATTTTGTTTATCACGATCTTTATCACAAAATAAAAGCATTTTAGCGAAGATAACAAATCAAGAAGATCTTTGTTAGCAAATGTCGTTCGACAGGTGAAAAGTAAACAGTTTCAGTTTCAGAACGTTGAATGTATCGAGTTGGTGAGCGGTAAGGTTGAATTGTGAGGAAATATTATGACATAATTAAATGTGATATATGATAAATCGATGAAGATCATTTCGGTAAGTATAACACATAGCTTAATCCTGTAATTTATTTCAGTAATTGCTTCAACTTCGATTTACAAAAAAAAATCTGATGATTCATCTATGGTGTTATGGTGCTATAAGTAATTTCCATTACCTTAACCCAAAGCCCTCTAGTAAAAGTATGAACAATTGTCACTGTATTTTTACTGTACGCTAATTTGAAAGTATCCATTATTAAGTAAAATTACGCCCATAGCGGCTTAACTCATTAAATGAGTAAAACTGATTTGCTCATTAATTAATATTCGCCCACGGCTAAAAATCTCTCTAATAAAGGAAAAAAAAAAGATATTCGACGCATGTGTCAATAAATGCCATTAAGTCTATAAGGAATTTAAACCTTTAAACAAGTTGAAATCATTAAAATACTTCATATTCTTTATTGTACATAATCACATAATCGTGGACACAAACACTACATCACATATCAGCAGAATTGTCCTGAATGCTGAAATATTCAAGAGTTGCAGGCATTGAGGAAATTATTGCAGGGTAAAGAAATTGTTTCTAGTCGTGCATAAAGAAATAGAAGAAGAAAGTTTTCAACATAACCCAGGAAAATACTGGGATTAATCCCGTAAGGGATGCCGATCATGAAACGGGTTTCGATTCCTGTGTACGTAAACCTCGTTTTCCTGTCCGTTAACCTGAAACCATACCATAAATTCCACCATACTTCCACTTCCACTTCATAATAATCGGTTCCGGACCATATCCGGGAATTCCGTATTTTTTTTCCAAATATTCAGTTTTATGGTTTGACATTGATGAAATTATTTGTACTCCCGTTCGAGGCATTATTTTCTGATCACATCTGCTGGCCCTATCATACCTTTATCGCGTATTTTTTTAAATAGAGGTACTAATCGCTCGTATTTTTACCGCGAACTCCGACCGATTTGCAGGATATTTCACAAATCAGTGAACACTTTGCGCTTTCACTTCACCAGGCCCATTTATACCCATTTACTGCAAGAAGGTATTTTAAAAAATGAATAAAAATGACACGCTTTTCTTTTTTTTAATACGCACTGTTTTACAGTTAGGAATGAATTCAACAAATGAGTACAATATACTCATTTAATGTGTACTTCAAAGTTAGTGTGTGTACCAATGCTGAAAATTTATCATTGTATTGAAAGAATTCTTGTGACAGAATTATGTTTGGCTTTGTCACAGGAAAATCTACTCTCACATTCATTCATTCGTTTTTTTCTTTCAATTTAGTGTCACCGTTAAAAACACAGCTCAGAAATGTCACTTAATTTTTGCCCGCTACAGTCCAATTTGTTTTGCAGTACTGATACCAGAAATGTTACCATCAGATAGTTCGCCTTGTTGCAACTTAAAATTGTTTGTATAGCATTGCAACTTCAAATGTCTTATACAGCGAGATCTCGTTTTGGCGACACGACTGCTTCATCTATGTGCCAAAAAAAAACCTTCGTGTATCGAGCAGATCCCTTCGGAATACAACGATATAGCAACAAAGTTTTCATCGAACTGATCTCAGCGCGTATTTTTCCGTTTATGGCTGTCAAAGAGCTTTTAGATTTTATCGAACCAACTGGACGTTTTACTTAGTTTTTATTTCAGATGAATTATTTTAAATTTAAATACAAATAAAAAATTGAACCCGTTTTCGACGTGTCACAATTAAGTTCTAAAATTTCAACCCTCGGACGATAATAAGTATTGTCGAAACCATCATTTACCTTATAACAGTTATAAATCCTTTCAAAACAATGTCATGCGCAATAAAGCATACTGTTCGTTAGACGTTAAATAGTTTTCAATGAATCAATATTCTAATAATATATTGAAGAGAATAAGAACGTTACATAAAGCATTCATGATACCAAATAAGTGTTGTATTTATGTTTATTTAAAAGTGAGAAGAGATGCGCATCTCGAAGCTCATAGCATATCAATATCCTGTTTATTTTTTTATTTTGGGTGGAAAGTGGGCTGACAAATTCCTTTTTAAGGTTATTTTAGTCTGTTACCTGACCTGTTAAGGAGCTGTTCAAATCAGTAAATATTGATTGTTAATTAATTAATTTATCTTTATTATGGAGGCTTTCAGCCTGGGGCTGGTTCGCCTCCAAAAGAAATATTGATTGTCCTCAGCTAGCCGTTTTGATCATCGACAATTTTGTCGAATTAATGTCGTGTTCTGCGAACAAAGAGTGGATGTATTTGAATAAACATGCCTAGAAAATGCTTCACTGATTCTCCTCTGGCATCGCTTTTAACACTGCGGACGAAAGGCTTTCGAGCGTCATATTGAACGAATAATGCTTGAATGCTAAACCACACCAAAAGTATAACTCAAACCTAATAACATTCAGCCATAAGGCACGCCTACTGTGTTACCTGTCTTATAACGAATATACGTTGTATACACGCAGAAAAATGGATTTTTGTTTCAGGCCCTAATGCATTTTGTTATTGATTCAAACATATTGTATCACTGTTTCAACGAAACATATTTTTGAATCAACAAAATGGTTTTTAGAAACAACAAACAGATTATTGACTCTACAACCGGTTTGTTGATTCAAAAATATTTTTCTTTGAACTAACCGAATAATATATTTGAATCAATACCAAAAATATATTAGGCCCTGAGCCAAAAATATATCCATTTGAATTTAAAAATCATTTCTCTGTGTGTACGAGTACCCATAAGCCCATACTATACCATACAACGTATGACTCGTCTAATTTTGCATAGCATTTGCAATGTAAAATTAGACGAACTATACGTTGTATTCTGGGTACTCGTATACAACGTATATTCGTTATAAGTCAGGTAACACAGTAATCATTTTTGTTTTATTGGGACATCAAATACAAGGTACGTGGAAGGCTAATGTATTAAATATATTGTCAAAGTTTATTCAGACATGGAAATGAAAAACTTAACTTAATTAATGAAAATAAAAATAAATTGACGACAACCTTCCGTTTATATGTTTTAAGTCCCACATACAATAGATTGTTTTGCAAAACAATAAGTTCTATTGTATTTTTATATTTTTATACAATAAAATGTATTGTACTAATAATATATTTGATTGCATTGTTGCAATAAGTTTCTTTGTCATCAAGCCTTCTGGAAGATGTCTCGCATAACTTGTACTATTGAAAGATCTTGGTTATCATGTCCTGTTCACAACCGAACGAAAATGATAACTTGGCTCTGTAAAGTTTATTCGATTGAGCATATACAAATAAAGTAATCAACAAAAAAAATGTCCTGTACACTGTTCTAATTGGAATGTATTTTAACTATCGTTTTTTGTTCGATCATTCCCACTGTGCCGCTTTATAGCCGCCGCCGCCGTCGCTCTCGCTGTCGAGTTCATTCATCAAAAAAAACTGCAGCCGTCCCGTTTGTTTCATTCACGACTACCGACTCACTACCAGGAACCACATGTGAAACGCACACACCTTCATGCAGCAGAGCGAGCTTCACAAAAGTTTATCAGGAGTAGCAATCCAGGGTTGCTTGTTGAATGAATGATGGTTGTGTGAGTGGGCTCTGATGTCACAGGTACCGTTAGGGTGCTATGTTCGCTTCAGTACATGGTTTACTCACTACGTCATCAGCTGATGCCAGTGCGGAGAACCTGGGAACGCGAAACCTTGCGGAATACTCTCTCGATTTCGTTGTATCTGTCCCATCGGTCCAATTCGTACATGCATCTGTCAGTTAGTTGTCAAAATTCAGTGTGAGAGGTGTGTGAAAACGAGAAAAGCCTACTTATATTGTGTGTCCATTGCAGCAGACCTTCGACGGGAAAAAAGTCGAAAAAGTGTCCGATTTTGAGACCCTAAAAATGGTTGTTATCGAAAAAGATTGGTTGGGTTTTGTTGTACGCGGTCGAGTCTAGTAAATCGTAACCAGTTTGGGGCAGAACGCAGCATCCCGGTGCAAATCGGTGATCGGGATTTGTCTCGCGAGGATTTTTCTCCTCACCACCACACAGAGCACCAACTAGCAAAAAAGCAGCAGCAACAGCAGCACAAGAAGTAGGGTGAAAAGTTGTTAGTTGTCCATTGCGATGTGCTAGTGCGGAGTTGTTGTGTTTTAAATTGTAGGAATTTTTTCTTGGTGTTGTAAATATTGTAAGTATCAGTTTTGGCAAAATTGTGATAAAGTTGGGACATTTGAATGATATTGCCTGGTAAATTTGGCTTCATACGGGACGTGAAAAAGTGCGTTGTTTACTTCGAAAGTGCTACAATCGGTTCCGTACCTTAGGGCAAAACAGTTGTACCGAACCCCAATAGCCAGCCAGCGGCGGCAGAATAAGCCTGAAGGAAGAGCTCAGAGAGTTCTGCGTGTGTGAAAAGAGGACGTCTCTCGCTGTCGTTTTGACCGTGTGCTCGTGGTCGTAAAGTGTGTGTTATTGGAAGATCTCTCTGCGTTTTTTTGCTTTTACGCAAAACAAGAAAAATGTGAGCTCGAAAATACACAGCAGCAGTGAAAATTTAGGTGACCTCCGTAGGATCTTCGAAGCAATACTCCAACAGAAGGATTCCATTGATATTCCCCTAACTAACACTCGAAAGGATATCCTCGCTATTGTTGACCAAAGGTAGGATTGTTTTTCGTTGATTAGCTGTGTGTCTAGAAAATGTTGAAAGAGAGATTTCTCTTTTGGTTCATCTTTCCTGTATGTGAGCAAATTTCACTCTTTCAACAGCATAGCTGTCAAAATGGCAAACGATTGTTATAGAAGAAAGTAAATTTTGTTTTGGATCTATTCCAACAACAGTGTAGTTTTTTTTTTTCTTATTGGGTTGAAGGATCTGTCAGTCAAAAGTCAGAGCGAAATCCTTCCAAATCAAATGGGAAACAGTGGAAACTCGCGCGGAAAGATGGGGAATGGAAGACACTGGTCAGCATTATTCCATTGATGGTTGCTGCTGCTATCGATGACGGAGCCGATGTCGGCAATGTCTACAAGAGTGACGATCTCTGTCTCTCTACCATTCACAATTGTGACGTATTTGTTGGGCATTCAGTTTTGAGAATGAGAAAATAATAGTAGGTCATCACATGTTTGAATTAGTTTCAATGTCGCTTTTCACAGTGTGAAACAACAGTGTTGCCAATATCCAATTGGGTATGCTCTTGGTTTGTATTTTTTACCATTGAACCACCCTAATGTATGCTTGTTTGTTTTGATGTTGTGTGTCATTTCCCAACGTTTAATTTTGGTTTTACCATTCTATAACATGAGTGACGTTTAAGCAGTTTTAAGTCTGAATCCGAATAAATTAAACTACATGAACCTGTTTTCCAATGGTACAATCATTGACAATCCGATGGTATTTGCTCACACTGTAGTCGCATCGAATATGCAGTGAGTACGTGAGTAGTTCCACGCGTGAGGAAGTGAGAAAAATGCAGAAAATAAGTTTGTTTATCAAATCACAAGAAGGAGCTCATTACTTCACAGTGCGTGGAGAATAGAGTTAATGTTGTGAATTCAGGAAATCGTTCAAAGATTCATTCAAGCAAGTTTCAATACCATCGGACAAGCAATACGATGCAGACAGGAAATGTGTAGTTAGTGTCATGGTAAATAGGTTACGCTGAATGTCCCTTCTCGTTGGTGCTAACATTTGCCAGAGTGGTGGTGCTGGCAGCATCAGTGGGTCATTGCCACCCGCCCAAGGTCTGAGGTGTACCTACGTATATTTTTCGTATTCATCGAGTTTGTATGCAGAAAAAGTATGCCGATCGTTTCCACTTCCCATGCAAAGTGGCAACTGGGAACCGGCCCCTATGATCGGGATATTATAATTAACAGCATCGTAACGGGAAATGAAGGACATTGATCTTTGGCTTGGATGGCGTTCTTTGTATGCTGCGGCAGGGATCCTTTTTTGCTGTTGTTGTTTTTCACGAGTGTCAATGATGTGTTGTTTTTGTTGTTGCAAGAATATGCGCAGGAGAGACAAGTTGAAGTTTGCACGTTGTTTGGTGTTCTTACCGTAATCGCACAATTCGTCGAGGTGACCATATTCGTACTTACATACTCGTGATGAAATCAAGCGTAGATGTTACTTAATAGAATTGTGATCGGTGTATGACAGTTGCAGAAATGCCATTTCCCAGAATGAGTTATTACCCGGAGGTATTGGAATGAAACTTATGAAAAAGCGACAACATGGACAAGCATTTTAGATCGCCATATAAAAACTTATCTTTTTCAACAAATAAAAGACAAACAACACATCATTGGGACTATTTCTAGTCTGTTGATGCAACCATAACAAATAAACAAATAAACAAATAAAAGAAGCGTATAATGAAAGAAGAAATTTTGATATTTGTACATGATGATCACTATACTGGGGATTTGATTGGAAAATTATACCTATTTACATAGTTCCAGTGTTTCGAAAACGTCTCAAATCCAAAATTTTTCTATATGATTTCAGTGTCCTTAACACTTTCTAAGTCTCAGACAGGTGATCTTTTTGGTAAAAATTCACAATTTGGAATATTTTTCCATGTACCATGTCCGGCATTTTGAATATTTTTGTTAATTTTAAATCCTTGAGAACTGGGAATTCTAGAAAATCTAGAATATTTTACCATAGATTGACCTCAATCTCATCTGTTATCATTCGCAGACTAGCGTTCTATTTCACCGTTACACTTTTCTTAAATTTGTAGATTAATAATCTTGAACAATTTTCTTTGTCAAAAGATCATGGAATTTATTCTCAATCGAAGTCTCAGAATTCTGAAAAAATATCTTAATCCTAGATCTTGAGTTTCTAAGTACGAATTTTGAAAAAAATAATAATCAATTACTGAATTTTCTAAACTATTTGTTGAAACTTATCTCAGGCTATCCACAGACAAACAGACATAACACATTGAATATTTCTCACTGTAAAACATCGTCGCTAAAACATTACCGCCATCTGTTGAGTATACTGTGGTGGGCACTACGCTGAACAGATGGCGGTAGTGTGTAAACGTCAAACGCAAGGGAATTGACTATGCGCGCCACAGGTGGCGGTACTACCAACTACGATACTTTTAAATTGTCCGTTAAATGCTTGTCCGATGAAAAATTTGCGAGTGTTATGTCTGTTTGTCTGTGGGCTATCTTTGAATATTTCTCAAGAATTTCCGTGGGATCATTCCAAAATATCTTCAGAGCTACTTTCTAGATTCCTCTCAATACTCTTATGATTCTCTCCGGTATTGCCTAGAAATATTATCCATAACTGTCTCGGATTCTTATGTAAAACCCTTAAAAGATACCCTACAAAAATCTCTTGAAATTCACTCTGCATTTATTTTCGTATTCTTAACATCAAGCACTTGACGTTTTGATTTTTATAAAAATATTGAAAAAAATGCAGGGTAACCAATGAACCGGGTAATCGGGAAAACAGGAAAAAAAACCGAATTTTTGAAGTCACCGGGAAAAACCTGTGAATTTCGATGACAAATCGGGAAAAAATATAATTCGTCCTCCCTTAAAAAAAAAACCTCAAGACCCTTGGACTGGACTAGATTTTCAGGATACAGTCACTTTGAAGAACTATTAAGAGAATTTTAGATTTTTTTTCCCAAAACAAATTTGAGCAGATTTTAGAATGAATTTCAGAGGCAACACCATGGTATTTTAGAGAATATTTTCTAGGGAGTTTTAGGAAAAATTCTAAGAAAGTTTTGACTAGAACTCCCTAGTCAACTGAGTGAGTTCAGAGTAAAACATTTAAGTAGCTCTCTGGAAAATTCCATGACGATTGTGAAGTGTATTCCAGGATTCGGGAAATACCAAGGGAATCGAATTTTAAGGGTACATTTCCAAAGGAATTCTGAAAAGATCTCTAAGGAGATTCCAAGGTTAATTCGAAGCGCAGGAAAAAAAAACAGTTTTTCTTTTAGATTTTTGATATAATTAACAATATTTTTAGAAAAATCAAACCGAATCAAATCAAAATATTTTTGCAGCCGTAAACTTTGCTTTGATCAATCTCGCGAGAATGGGTTTTAATTTCTCTCCATAATTGTTTGAAAATTTCTCTTGGCATTCTCTTTAGAATTTCGAAAGTATTTTACCAAAATCCATGCGCATTTTCGATAAGAATTTAGTTAAAATTCTTCTCAAAATGCCCTTGAGAGTAATTGTGTCGTTTCCTTGGTATTCTCTTAAAACACTCCTTGGCAACGCTATGCTGCTTTTATAAGCCGCATAGTAAGTCCCGTATGAACTTCAACGGGTCATTTCAGTATGAAATTGTAACAAAATGAGCTCAATTTTTGAGAGAATGATCAGGACTTCAGTCGAGGACAATCGATATTTTGAACAATCCTAATGCGTACTACATTGCATGTGAACGCATAACTATTCCATGTTCTGTGAAACTTTCTTTACATATGAGATAGTAGTTATGGTCCATCTTGATCCTTGTAATGTACTCCAAAACTACCAAAATAATAATGATAAGCACAACAATTTCTTTCTTTTTTTCCATTCGCAGAATTTATCGTCAGATGTCGAAGCAAAGCATAGTTTATTGAATCCTACTGAACAGTTTCAAAGACTGTAAACTCTATTGTGAATGTATAAGTCAACAGTAGTCCTGTACAAACCACAATGCAAAGCTTGGAGCCTGCATCATGTCAAGAAGCTGATGTAAGTACAATTATATCGCATATGGATATAGTAGATAGCATAATTTGCTCTGTCTTCCTTTTGTAGTATATGTTAAACGATGCATACTGTAAGTTAAGAAAGTCTCCGTCGAGGCAGCAAACGCTGGTGATCGATCAACCGCCGCAGTATCCGAGTCTACCTAGTCCTATTCTGAATGACAGTACCCCACTGTTCAACACTAGTAGCAGTAGCAGTGCGACTAGTCCGCTTCCATCGTCATCGTCGTATGCGACCTTGAGCGGGATCCACTCAAACTCGCCGCCAGCGACGCTACTAGCAACACCCTGCTCGTCCTCAGCTTCCTCGTTCCTCGGATCCGGGGGTAGCAGTTCCACCTCCCAGCTGCTCAAATCGTCCTCAAGCAGTGGTATCTCGGGAAGCAGTTTAACGCTGACCAACCATCATCATCATCACATCGATAAGAGGGGAGCAACTGATTCCGGCTACGTCAGTAGTTCCCCGTCTAAGAAATCAAAACTATCTTCCTCGGCCGGATCTCTAGCCCCATTAGCAGCATCAGGGTCTTCATCAATCAATAGTTCTTCCACGGGCTCTAGTAATTTTTCCGGTAGCAGCAATCACCACCACCATCATCATCATAACCAACACCAGCAGCAACATCAATACCACGGCAGTGGCAGCAATTATGGCCCGACCGGCTCCCCTCAGCACACCGGTGCAGGAAATTCCGGCGGTTCGGCGGGGACTGGTGGAAGCTCGAACCCTACCGGCAGGTTTAACATACATGACAAACTTAGGGAATTGTATCTTGAATTACTAGCTGAGGACAATACTGAAACCAACAGGGTGAGTTGAGACAGTTTTACGGTTCCTCCGTGTGATTTGTAATTTTAATGTGCTTATTTTGTTGTAGCTTAACTTAAGAAACACATCGTTTCTGCTGGAGAAACTGGTGTTGAGAGAGAGTCTCAACACCCTGATCCTAAATCTCTATCCCGGCAATAAAGGATATTCGTTAGCATTTAGAAGAGGAACTGATCAAACTAACGATGGAGGGCGAAATGTAAGTGATCCCAAGCCAGTTCTCAGCTCAGTGTTGTACGGTGACGGACAAAACAATAAGACCACTTTTAAGTTGAACATGAAAATCTTCCTATAATCGTCAATTAAAAAAAAACAGTAAAGCAAAACCACTTGGCAAGTACTTGTACTACCTGTAACAGCGATAAAAAGTCTGATATTTAAAAAAAAAGTTCCTATATTATTAAGCATTCCTAAATTATTCGAATCCATCATTAATGACAATGTATTCTTACAGATTAGAACTGTAATTACTAGCAGACAGCACGGGATTGTTTAACGACGATCTACAGCTACCAACTTGATACATTTTGTGTCATTTTGTTTAAACTCAATGGATAAAGGAAATTATGTCGAAACGCAATATACTGATTTTAGTAAAGCATTCGACAGAGTTGATATACCTATCTAGCTTTTCAAGCTTTCCAAATTAGACTTCAATCCTAGGCCACTGAAATGGATCGAGTCGTACTTATCACGGAGGACACAAAAGGTAAGATTTGACGGAAATCTGTCCACCATATTTAATGTAACATCTGGTGTGCCACAAGGTTTACATCTTGGTCCATTACTGTTTATCTTATTTGTCAACGATATAGAACATATTTTGAAATTTATTCATGTTTCTGTATATGCTGATGAAACTTTTCATGGATATTTCTAAAGCAAGATCTTCAACTATTTCAACATGAAATTGACGTTTTTTACACATGGTGTGACAGGAAAACATTAGAACTAAATGTAAAAAAAACCAATTCTGTATCGTTAACAAGAAAGCTACACGACACAATTACTCTTGGCCAGAAAACAATTAAATATGCTATCCAGTCAGAGACTTAGGTGTTATCCTCGACTCCAAGTTAACCTTTGCTTATCACTATAATAGCATTACCTACAAAGCAAACAACATGCTCGGGTTCATTAAAAGATTTAGTTTGCACTTCAATGATTCTTACACAATCAATACACTTTACTGGCCACTTCTCGAATATTGTAGCATAGTTTGGGCTCCATATCATGATACACATGTGAACAGCATTGAATCAGTTTAAAAGCAGTTCTTGTGGTTTGCTCTAAGAAAGTTGGGTTGGACGAGTTTTCCACTTCCATCTTATGAATCGCGTTGTATGCTAATTAAGCATGTAAAGTCCTATCGATATGGGACTGATATGCGATTATGGGCAGAACAGCTCACTGCCAATGCATCGAACAAGCCCCAGTACACTACTAAGCCGTTCAAACATGGTATTTTATTGTGGTCAGGAGGTGTTTTCGTGGTACGGGATTGGTTCTATCTTTTGGATTGAGAAAATATTGGATCAATAGCTGCACGCAATGCCTCTGAAATGGCAGTTCATGCGAGACAAAGCAAACTGCTAGTTCCATGAAAAAAAGATTTCCTGGTTGGCAAACGATTGCCAACCAGGAAATCTTTTTTTCATGGAACTAGCAGTCAATATCCCCAAAGCAACGATGCTTTGGGGATATTGAAAACAAATTTTTTAGAATTTTCCTGTTCGTTAAACCTTACAACAATTTGCCTCTCCGCTTCCGTACAATGCGCTGCACGTCCATAATTCTCTATAGGTTTCTATCAAATTCAAAGTAAACGTATAAATGGTTATTTGTGTACCTTACTTCCTTGCACCATATTAAATTAGGTAAATTTTACCTGTGGCACTCATAATAATTATACGTTCAAATCATCGGAACTATGAAGTAGTCTTATTTTTTGTCCCAAGCTTTTTCCATGTGCTAAATCAATTTCGATTTTACATTCGTATGAGGCGGCGTAATTTGTCAATCAGCCAGTATTGTAGAACGTCATACTTGTACAAATGCTGGCCTAGTAGTTTCGCTTTGCTAAGAAATTTAGCAAAGATTTTCAAGTTCAGCTTAAAGGTGGTTTTATTGTTTTGTCCGTCACTGTATTTAAATGTAGAATTTAAGGGACTAATCGTTTGATTGGTTTCCAGCAGATCTCAAAAAGTGGTGCTACATCATCAGAACGTGCTGGTTCACCTTCGACGGGTGCATCGATGGATATCAATTCCGAGCAACTTCAGGAGACCATCCGGTGGCCGTACGAAGAGGAGGAACTGCTCGAGTGCATCGATCGCGAGGAAATTCCGCTCGTGCTTGTCGATATGTTCGAGAGCAAATGTCCGGGGTTGTTCTACTCGGGCTGTGTGATTGCGGAAATTCGCGATTATCGGCAGTCGTTTCCGATCTTTACCTGTGATACGTACCATGTGCTGCTGAAACCCACCAATCAAGTAAGTTGTGTGGAACTTTCGCTTTGTCAGGGTAATTTTACTAATGGAATTTATTTTACAGACTCTATTGGCCGATGTGAACCTACTGACGGCGGAGGGAGATTGGAGTCCAGAGGAGAAAATTGCTCTTGAAAGTCAACTAGTGTTAGCAACGGCAGAACCGCTATGCTTGGATCCCAACCCCGAAGTAGGTATTATGGCCATCAACCAACAGCATCGTCGTCACATATTCAATACGACACCAATTCGGCGGCAGGCGAAAAAGTTCTCCCAAGTCGCCATAAATCGCAAGAGGAAAACGGATCAGTTCACTCACAGCTTCGGTTTGGAGCTGAGCGATTTCATGACAAAATACCGAGCGAAACCCCGCCAGTACACGGCTAGCAAGCGAAGTGTCGTTAGTTTTACACTGCCGAAAAAGCCTTCCGATGTGACACCAACTGTGAAGGTGCCAAGTCTCGACCTACCTGAACTGGCTCCACCTCCGGAGGTGAATGTGGAAAAGTTTGCTCGCAAATACGATGGACCAAAGGAAAGTCGGGACTGTATTCCGCAGCTAATCGAAGAGTACATTCTGGAAACGGATCGCGTGGTTAGCCGTGGCGATACGAGGACCTACCATATAAAGCTATCAATCTTTCAGCGACCGTCAAATTCGGAATACTTGGGTGAGCTGTACGTGGACAGAGATTACCGGGAAAGCGAACGTAACGGGGAAGCATGTCAATTTACGCTGGGGACGAGAGCGCATGCACATCGATACATTCAGCAGTTTACGGAAATATTCACCGAGGAAGGTCGGAAGTCAGTCAAAATTACGCACTTGGTGCCAGGTCAGGTTCCTAAGGTGCTCCATACTGCTGGAATGCGGGAGCAGAGTGTTCAGCAGCAGCAACAACAACAGCAGCAGCAGCAGCAACAACAACAACAACAACAACAGCAGCAGCAGCAGCAGCAACAACAACAACAACAGCAACAACAACAACAACAACAGCAGCAACAACAACAACAGCAGCAGCAACAACAACAACAAGCAATCCAACAACAACAGGCTCATATCCAACAACAAATTTCGCAAATTCAGCAACAGTTGCAGTCTCAACCTACGCATGCTTTAATAACCCGACTGCAAGCTACAAACCCGGCCTTAGTGTCCCAAATTGCGTCAGCTGGCGGAAACATAACGATAAATACAACCAATCCAGGCACCCTTCCAGGCAATCAACAACAGATACAAGTTCATCAACAACAACAGCAGCAGCAACAACCCCAGCAACAAATAACTCAACAACAAATCATAACTGCTGGACCGTCCTCTAACATCATCACTATCGGAGGTGCGACATTGCAACAGCACCAACAACCGCAGCAACAGATACACATACAACAGCAACAACTTCCAAACCAACACCAACAGCAGCTTGTCACGACTAATGCTGCCGGACATCAGCAAATTTTTACCACCTGTGATACCGCCAGCAATGCCGTGCAGCAAGCCACAGGCACTACAATAACCATGCAACAACAACAGCAGCAACAACAACAACCGCAACAACACATACAGCAAATTCAAACTCAAACACACCAACCCCAGCAGCAAACGTTAAGTCTCAGCAACGGATCGCTGTTGTTGGTTCAGCCTTCGGGACAGATATCGAACATTACAACCGCTACCGCTGGTAATCATCAAACCGCTGCAGGTGCTAGTGGCAATGTTGTCACCGGAACGCAGAATATCCAAGGCTTTACTTTTACCTCAGCTCCACAAACTGCCACTATCATCAATCAGAGCGGTGCAACCGGTACGACAGCTACTGGAAATCGTGTCCCGCTGCTGGTAAGGCTAGAGAACAAAGCTTCGCAGCAGCTTCAACAGCAGCAGCAGCAACATCAACAACAACAGCAACAACAAACCCAACATGTTCAATCCCAGCAACAAAATCAAAGCACTGCTACTACTATCCATACGAACAACCCAGAGATCAACGCTATTGCACTCAGCATTATGAATTCAGCCAATCAATTTCGACAACAACAACAGCAACAACAACAGCAGCAACAACAACAGCAGCAGCAACAACAACAACAGCAGCAACAGCAACAACAGCAGCAGCAGCAGCAACAGCAACAACAACAGCAACAGCATCATCTCGTCAAATCGAATTCAAATGCTGCCATAATCAGTTTGCTGAATAGTGCTCCCGCTGCGATGACAAATTCATCTGTGTTAAACAGTGGTTTGACTATCCCGGTAGGAAAAGGTACAACAGAACTTCAGCAACAGCAAGCACAGCAACAACAGCAGCAGCAGCTTAACCAACAGCAGCACACCATCCATCATCATCAAGTGACTGGAACCACAACGATATCGAGTAGCGCCGCAGCAGCATTGTTCAATAGCGTTGGAGGACGGAAGATACAGATACAGCAACAGTCAGGGGGCCAGCGGATACTGAATCACACGAACCTGATTGCTGTCAGCAGTAATCCTTCGGGTGGAGGTCTAGGGCAGACGCAGTTGATAAATATTCAACCAGCTACTGCCAACACAAACGACCAGCAACAGCAGGTTCAGCAGCAACAGATTGGTCAACTGCAGCATTCCAACATTCGGGTTACAATGTCGGCGCTGGCTTCTCAACTTGCATCACCTCCAGCAATTCTCACTACTTCCAACCTTCCACAAAGCTTTAACGTGGTTGCCTCTTCCGGACATGCGGTCGGTGGCCAAAACTTTACCAATGTAGCCAACAATACTACCAGTAAATTGATAATCAATAGTACAAATCCACGAATACTGAACATCAATACAAACAACACGAACAGTTCGAATGCGGCGGCTGCTGTTGCTGCTGCTTTGGGAATTCGGCGAGTAAGCGGAGCTACCACCGATGGAAGCGGAGGTATACAGCTGCAGATTCAAGGGGCGGATGGCATTCGACGAATCGCCACTGGCACCGGCAATGACATCCAGCTCCAAATACAGGGTATCTCATCGCCCGGCAGTGATCACTCCAATGCTTCCTCATCTGCATCCGTGAATGCAGCTAGCGGAGGTCCTAGCGGTACCAATGCCGGTGCTTCAGCAGCCGGAGGAACTGGCAATATCATATTCAACAATATGTCAGGATTAAGTGCTTTACTAGCCACCACTTCTCCATCTCCTCAACAAACGGCGGCCGCAGCAGCAGACAATAGTTCGACGCTCGGCGTGGCAAACACCTCTAATCTAGGCAGTAACAATAGCAGTAGCAACAGTAGTAATAATAATTCAGCATTAATCGAAAGACTGACTTCATCTAGTAATATAAATCTAACTAATAACCTTCCGACTGCGAGCCCCGGCCTGCAGTTTACGATACCGTCGCCGAAAACGCCCCAACAGCAGCACCAGCAATCTCAGCAGCAGCACCTGCAAATTCAGTCACCATCGTCATCGATATCGCCACTCTCTAGTCCTCCGCCAACGGTGACCCTCCATCCTCAACAACAGCAGCAGCAGCAGCAGCAACAACAACAACATATTCAGCAACAGCTTCACCATCAGCCCCAGCAAACGACTGTCAATCTGCAGGGACTGAACTTTGCCAGTCTGCATGGTGCAATGACGTCGATTCCGGGGCTGCAAAATGTTCAGGTACGTTTGATATTCAAATATTTTAGGTGCCTGGGTGGTCTTTTCTAGTTGTTAGCTATCTTTCCTCTAGAAGTGGGAATTCACCTACTTCAGTTTACATATGAAGCAATCGTTTTTAACGTCATCATAATGGATATACTCCTTCTCTGAGTGAAAATATGCTTCGCTGGCAACAATTGGTTCAGACATTTTAAAAGTTCCTAAAAATACACTGATTAAGATTTTATGTATGTTTTATAAACATTTCAAACAAATTTGGGAATTAAGAATTAAAATGCCACATCATTTCAAATACTATTGTGACTTTTTTTTTGGTGTTTAGCTTCTTTTATGTTCAGGCCGAGTTGGCTTCACCTGCTCAAGATATATTTTGTTATTAATAACGATCTCTGCATCTTTAGGTTCAAATCCCAGGTTTATCCCAACCAATTTCGCTATCGCTGTCTTCTGCTCCGTCCACTGGTGCATCGGCAGCTGCCAATGTACTGAACGCGGCAAACAATGCTGCCGCTGGCGGTAGCACAGGTCACCACCAAACCACTAGCCTATTGGTATCCGTACCGGTGTCCAACGCTGGTGGCGGAGGAACCCAGCTGAATACCCTGAATGCCGCAGGAAACGCAGGTACGACCGCAGGCGCAACAGGAACCACTACCGTGGGTAGTGCAGCTGCCAACATACTCGGTGCAAATTCCCAAACTACAACCCAAACGGTAATGCTCGCCAATCCACAAACCAGTGTTGGCGGATCTAGTCTGCTCTCTCTGCCAATTGGTAAGTTGTGAGGAATCTTATGGTGGACATGGGAATGGTTTCTGAATATGGCGTTTGTTTACAGCTCAAATTGTAACTTCCGGTATGAAAGGATTAAGCCAGCAGAGTATACGTGCTGCCACGCCCCTGACAGTGAACACCGGTCAACCGGGTCAACAAATACAGCTACTCAATATAAGCCAACGACCGCGCAGTGGTCAACTTCCGGTGGTAACATCCGTCACTACTCCGATCTCGGCCAAACAGATAACCGCACGCGTAGCGCAGCACCGCACCTTGGCGGGTTCAACACTGAAAATTGCAACACCAATTACAGGTACATGCTTTTAACCATTCCAACACCAATAAACCTTCAATACATTCTTATCCATCCACCCCGATAGCCACACATCACAACCAACAGTTGGGCCAAACGATGAATGTAACAACAAATGCTGCACCTAATCAGCTTGTGATGACTGCGAAACAGCTTCAGCTGAAACTTCAGCAACAACAGCAACAACAACAGCATGTTCAGCAACATCAACAGGCTCAGCAAATGATTGCCACATCAAACCAACCCGCCGCAACGCAGATTCATATCCAGCAGCATCAACAGCTTGCACAGGTCCAACAACAGTTGCAGCAGCAAGTGCAAGCCCAACAACAGCAGCAACAGACACAGCAGATAACCATCAACAATAGTGTCGTATCGCCACTTCCTCTGCCAACCATTACACCTCCGCCGCAGCTCACGCACCACCAGAGTGTAGTCAACGCTCTGGCAAGTAAACACCGACGGAGATCGGCAGCCGACCTGAATAAGTAAGCTCCTTCCACACTCTGATTAACTTCTTTCCTATCTACCTATTCTACATGCAATAATTGCAACAACGCATACGGTTGCACATACATGAAACACGCGAAACCCACTCACAGCGCTCTTTTAGTCACACTAGCATAAATAGGATGTAAGAACAAATTCGATTGGTTGGTCCCTCCCACCAGTGACCCCGCTGTGTCGGGGGGGGGGGGGGGGGTGGAATTACGGTGATGGCCTTCCTATCTTAAGCCTAGGGGAAAGCCATAGTTTATTTGTTCGGTGAATAAACAAAGCTTTCTGTTTTAATTTAATTTTATGCAAATGGAGAAGAAACTATAAGCTATAAACCAATTTTTAAGCAAACAAAATAGGAATGTCGTATTGTGCGAAACAAATAAAACGAGAGAAAATAAGCATGGGATAGCATGTCAATGTTAGTGAGTGTTTGTTTTCTGTTGCTTGCTGGATTTTTTTTTGTTCACGATTTCTTCATAAAACTGATCTACAGATCTATAATTTGGGTCTTTTACGAGCATGCGAAATCATTGAAGATTGAGTGCGACATTTTTTTTTCGACTCCAAATAGCATCACATACGAATTTTAAGGTGCGTTCTAATCTCTTTCTGGTGTTGGCAAGGTGAATGCTTTTTCCTTCATCAAATAAGTAGGGGGAGGAGGGGCATAGTGAGCATTCCGTAGTTTGGCCCTGGATCTCAAGCTGCATGAAACAAATAAACTGGCAGTAGGTTCAATAACATTATGATATTGATCCTACCACCAACCAACTTGTTCCGAACGGCCGGAAGTCCAAACTGGTGCACGGGATGCTCACTATGCCCCACCTGTTCATTAGGCCCTTCTTACCCCTACCTACTCTTAAAATTTCCATTTCCATCACTCTTCAGACCTTTTTGGCAAAACTTACCTACTCGGCTAAAAAGCTTCCGAACACACCTTACACGTATGACTATTATGAACGATGTTACGTAAGGAAATATTCAGAGAAAAAAAATCCTTTTTTCGCAGAGAACGTACGCTTATCAATTACCGATCCTTGCTTTTTTAACTCTTCAAGCACCACACTGAACATTTAGTTGACATTTTTCTTATAATATGCTGTATCCCGGAATCTATTCATCCGTTTTATAATGTTTTTATATCGTTGGAAAGGTAACTTCCTCAACTTTTTATTAATCTGTTGGTCACGGTACTTGAAGCCTACCTAGTTTAGCATAAAGCCATTTGGCATACAGTCTGTTGGTGTAATGGTCGTTTGGCATAATACTGGGGAAAATGGTACTTGAAGCTGTTAGCGGTCGATGAACTGAATGAAACAAACCTTTTTTATGATTATTTTGGAAATCCGACCTTTCAAATATATACTGCGTGACATTTTGTATTGACACGATTGTATTAATAAACTGATTTTTAACTACTAATGTATAGAGTAATATGGGACAAAAGTTCTTTTTGAGGTTTTCGAAGCCCGTGCAAAATAAAAATTTTGGAACTTGTTTGGAAGGTCTTTTAAAGGCTGATTTTTCTCGAAAAAAAATCACAAAAATTGGTCATGTTTTCGAAGAATTGTAGGCAAAAGTTTGTTTCGGAATGATCAATTACAATATTTGTACCAACATTCAGGGCATGATTGCGTTTCTCTTCAAGCACCACACTGAACATTTAGTTGACATTTTTCTTATAATATGCTGTATACCGGAATCTATTCATCCGTTTTATAATGTTTTTATATCGTTGGAAAGGTAACTTCCTCAACTTTTTATTAATCTGTTGGTCACGGTACTTGAGGCCTACCTTGTTTAGCATAAAGCCATTTGCAATACAGTCTGTTGGTGTAATGGTCGTTTGGCATAATACTTGAAAAAGTTGAAATCAGCAGGGCAAAAGTTCGAATCTTGTCATTCACAAATGTCTAAAATGCAAACAATGATAAATGGAGCAGAATGTGACAAAAGCATTGAAAAAAATGTTAGAAACTGTTTTGCTCTTTCTCAGTTGATTCCCACCTAAATCTCTATGCCAGGAGTGCTGGAGTCCCCATGACTCTATTAAAGTTTGTTTTCATACATGTTTCGCCAAAGTAGGTTTTCCTGCAATTAAAATTTACAAAACTCAGCTAAGTCATGAAAGCTAAGCTGGTTTTTATACTTTCATCACTGAGCCCGTTGGTTTTTGCCTTTGAGCTTAAAACTAAGAATGTGTTATGAAAAAGTATTAATTATTTTTATGAGATTTCAATGCTTGATGATAGATAAGAACAGTAACTGCTTCTGAATGCACTGAACGAAAACATTCGCAATATTTCGACTGATTATTGTATTGCTCGAGCCCTTTTCGGATGATTTCCTTATGGTTGAATTCATCATCAACTGATGAGCATCCATATGACTGCCCTCCAAATAAAGGATGATATTTATTTGATATTTGGCTGTAAAACATACTCAGGACTCAGAGGACAACAATTTAAGGAGAGGATGACTTTCTGTTGGTAGAAGAAACTTCATCCACCACGAAATAGACAATTTTCGGTTTCCACGCTTTACGTGCTCGTGGGTCTGCTCAGAGCAACAAATGACGTTCGATAGAATTATTTACACCATCATTTTGAATGATTTACGTTAAAAGGCTGAACCAATACCAAATGCATTTCGATTTAAGATGACTATTATTCTGCAGAGAGCATTAAGCATTCCAACTGAAGGCCCTATCCCTTTTCATAACAATGTTCAGCCTGTATTTGAGAGGAAAATCATCTGATTTCAAGACAACCGTCATTCATTCGGTTGCAGCTATCATTCGAAAAGGCGATTTCGATGGTTTGGTACAGTGTGTTTGGCTCTCGTTTGACAGTTCACATTGGCTCCCAAGTGACAAGTACATTGAGTGAGTCTGCAGTACCCAGGTATTTACTATGGAAAGCCACTATTGTCGAGTAAATTTTGTTGTTTACCAAGTTTGGCCATATCTGGGTACAAACATGTGATTTCTTTATGTCGTTAGCACCATTATAGGACATTTAAAGATTTGTAGTGGCTAAACTTCGTAAAACCGTTTGTGAACTTTTACCCCATTGCTGAAACGAACTTTTGCCTCACGGTGAGGCAAAAGTTCATTTAGAACACTTTCCCGAAATAAAATTTCTGGCTTCGAATGCACTGAAAATTTATCAAAGCTTCGTAAGAAGAAATTGTAAAGTTTGAAAAATGCTTGTAGTTTTGAAATAATTTAATTTTCAAACTAGCGTCAAATTTGTGTCGAGTAAATTTAAAAATAGGCGTTACTGTTTCCGTCGATATAAAATCGATCAACTTGTTTTCTGATTACTGCCACTGACAGGTACACATGTATTTCAAAATTTAGTTCCTAATCACCGAAACTTATTAATAAGTTTGACTGACTTCGCTAGTTCCAAACAACTTAATTACTCGGTGTTATTTGAGGATTGTAGTTGATTTAAAATTTTAAATAGGCATGCGAACTTGTGGTTGCTCAATGCTTGATGATGCATTTTTGCAAGTTGAGCAAACATTTTATTAAAGGGTATTTTGATGGTTTTGGGCCTAATATAATTCCAATCGAATCCCAGGGCACATTCCTGAGTTAAACTGAGATCCTGAGGGTTGATGAAAATCCATTTCCGTAGACGCTAGACGTTGTTAGTTGTTGCAAAATTTAACCTCCAAATGGGTATGTGCGTCTCTTAATAGATGTTACATCTAATTGTGTCTGACGTAGATTGGCGCGTCTGCTCGATCCAGAGTCCAACAAAAATTAATCCTTCGAGAGCATTGGAGCGCCTTTTCAGTAAATGCAAGAATGGGAAAATGTTAAGAGAAGAGGATGATTTTTTTAATACTTGTAGTTCTTGCCCCTTATTGTGTACTAAATTCGAATTTAAGATAATGGTCTTGCTTGGATGATTTTTTGTTGATTACTCGGAGTTTTTGATTGAAATATACGTAGACAAACGTTGCCGTGACTGCATAGAGTGGCTTTATTGAGTATTCTAGGTCTTCATTGTAAACCTGGTTAGCTCGAAAAATTAGCTGCTCAGTGAAGTTTTAGTATTGTGATGTTGCTGCTATTGCAATTGAGATGGAATTAACTTACAGAATTTTGGAGGTGAAAGCGCTGATTTTAAGATTTTCCACCGGATGAATCTGGTCGCGAATTTGCGTTTGGTTAAGCGTATTATGCAGAATAATTTTCCTGTGGAACTGGGTCTCAAAATGTGCTCAAAGGAAAATAATACAATGAGATTGGAGACTGGGTGAATTTCTGCCTCTAGAGTTGAGTTCGGAAACAGTCAGAAAAGAACTTCTAAGGATGAGAAAATTACCATGCCAAGGACCTCTTCTCGCACCATGCAGCACGTGCTGTGCCCTAATTCCGTTCACCTAAGGCAGTGAACTATGTCTAAGTGCTCTAAAAAAATAGTCTTTTCGTATTTGAAAGCCACAATTACGCTATATTGTTTCATTCTGTTTATTCAATAGTAAAAAAATATGATTAAGCATATCACTGCACTTCTGCATTGATAATGCATACAAACTAAATTTGGTTTTGATCCTAATTCCAATCAGCAAAAATGGACTTGTTCCTTATTCCGTTCATTTGTGTGCCTATTTTTTTTTCCTCGGTTCGGGACATAACACCACTGCGACCAGTAATTTGATCTCTTCTAGTATTACAGTGTGTCCTTAGTTTAGTGCATGTCGTATTACTTCATCACGATTGAGAAATGATGAAGTATTCGGTTTTGATACAGTTGTCATTCTTGCCTTCATCGCAAGGAGTCGATTCTAATTGAAAGGTCCCGCTATTTATACCCTTCGAAGTGTTGGAACACCCTTTAGTCAAAATTGGATTCCTTAGCAACACCGATAATGACCATGTCTTAACTAGTCTTAACCAGTTCAAACTTGTTTCAAGATCATCCTAGGTGGACAAAGCCGAGTCTTATCACTATCAACAAGGCATAACAAGTAACAAGGACTAAGATGTGTTCCTTTGATTACTGAAAAATCCTGTTCCCCTAGTTTGAAGTAGTCAAGACAAGGAATCGGTGGTAGATCTTACATCCCGTAACGTACCACGAAAAGGTGATCTACCCACGTTACGGGGACTGTGTGCCTAATTACAATCACCTCAAATTATTACCATTTTAGGCCTTTTAGGTCGAACATAGTAGTAGATCATATTTAACGTGGGCAAGTTTGTAGTGTTTTATTAATTTTAATATATAAAAATACATTTCATTTCATGTTTGAATGGAAAATCATACAGAATGGTACAATTGTTCTTCTGTTTTTTTAAGTTGCTTTTTGATCAGAACTTTTTGCTTCTGTTGTTTCTTTCTCTGCCTTTCGGCTTTTTTCTTTTGTTTTTCCATTTCCACTTCTTTCTTAGCGTTCTCGA